AAATTATTAGAAATTCATATGATTAATTTTTAGCATTTCTCATAACAAAATTTCCAAGTTCTGCATTTATTTCTTTGGATTAGGAATATATTAAAAATGTTTACTGTATTTTCTCTCATACTTCCCTCTTTGTACATTCTTCTTTCTCTGGTCTCACTATTTCTTTATCCCTACTGTCACATATCCTATTTTGAGAAGTAAATACTGGGTTCATTTTCTTCTGGTTTATCCCTTCTTTCCATCCTAGTAGTGGTATATCCTCTTCTTTGCTGATCTCGGTAAAGTCTTGGTAAATGTTTTGTGAGAGCTACTTTAATCAAAACCTATTTGTTGGCAGTAAATAGAATGAAAATAATCACTCTTTAAGTGTCTTTCACCACTCTTCTCTGTCCCTGTTCTGAGGCTTGCAACTATTGATGACTTTGGTAGCTTTCCAGGACGGAAGGTGCTTTGTTGGTTTCTAGGCTAGGTGATAATTTCATCTAAGTGCTTCAAAAGGTTGGAGATGTCATATAACTGATTAATGTTGCTTTTTTTTCCTTCTGTTTTTTAAAGTTAAATGCTTCCTTAAAAACCCTGGAAGGAGAAAGAAACCAAATTTACATTCAATTATCTGAAGTAGATAAAACAAAGGAAGAGCTTACAGGTAGATAATTTACTTACTTTCAGTGTTTCTAAATAAATGTTTCTCCTTATAGAGAATGATACCATTAAGTAAATCAGTTTTGGGAGCATTCAGTTTGATTATTTATTAACTTTTACTTTTGTTGGCAATTTGTAAAAGCGTATCCTTGGGCCCCGGACACTCTGCTAACTCAGAACTGAAACCACTCCCAAAGCCTACTTTTCAGACAAAGATTAGAGAGACTTAAAAAAAGTGAAGCAAATTTTGTCAATTGCATTTGAAATTTTTTCTGAGTTGGTATAAATAGCATCCTTTTTTATTTAAAAAAAAAAAAATCCACCATACGTTTGCATAAAAAAAAGATTAGAAAGACATACTCAGATGTCAACAATGATTACCTTGAATATGGCATTATGGACAAATTTTTGTTTTTCTGCTTATATGTATTTAAAAAAAATTTCTATAATAAGTGAACTATATTTATAATAAGACACCTTTTTAAAAGATTTGAACCACTGAAGATGCAGATTATAAAAAAATTATAGCCCTATTTACATGATATTGATACTTAGATTATTTTTGGATTTTGAAAAACATTAGTATTAACTTTTTAAATAAAGTTTTACTATATGTAAAGCATAGTGCTAAAGGTCATGGGAGATTTACAGAAGGAAAGATACGGACCCTGCTTTCAGGGAAGCTGTATTTTAGTATATTAACATGTCCCTCAGTGACTGTGTAAGTGCCAAAGTAGTAAGGCATTTGCTCACCAGTTAGTTACCCCACCCCTTAATACCATTTCTTGTCAAATCTTTCTTTTTCAAACTAGTATCTGGAGACCCTGTGTCTGACTGTACCGTCTAGCAAATTTAACTTTCCTTTTTTAATGAATCATGAAAGGTAAATTATTTAAATTGATCTTCTATTATAATTTGAAGGTTTTCTTCTAAACTGTTTCCCCTTTGCCGTTGCCTTTTTGATAATCATTTCCAGTGCTCTTTTGAGACACAGAAGATTTGAAACAAATAGTTATAGCAGTATAAAAATATAATGAAGATTTAGGTGTTGGTTTATAGTTTTTTTTTTTTTTTTAATAGGAAAGATCCTGTTTGAACAGAGATAAAAAGTTTCTTTGTTTAGTGACTGTTCTTGGCAATGACTTAGAGCCAGTAGCTTACAGCCTGATACAGATTTAAAATTTCTGTGGAAAGACAGATATACACATTTTCCTGGGCATTTAATCATGTAATGTTACCATGTGTACTTAGGCTATCCTTTTGATGTGTACTTCTAATTAATAGGTGGTTTAGAATAATTATATACTAGTACATATAATTTCTAAAATTTGGATGCTTATTAGTATGGTTTAGAAAATGCCCTCTTTGGGCAGAGTGAATTTTTTGTCTTCTGTTAAGATTTATGGTGGTGATTCATGCTCATGTTTGGGGAGATGGTGCCTGAATCTTAGAGGAGCTCAGACTTGAGGTTATTATGTTGGTTGAGGGATGAGGTTTTGAAAACAATTGATGCACTCATTATGAAGTACTTATAATTATTTAGAATAGTTAATTTTTGTTTAATAGATGATTATTTAGCTGGTTTAGCGGTTGAAACAAAGCTAAAGTTGTCATTTTTTCCTAGGCTTGATCTGGTTTAAGCTGTGAGGACTTTTGAGCATTTGTTACCGGATGATCTAGATTTCTGGCTTGACTTACAACATTTTTCAAAATTTTGACCTAGGAGGGCGGGCTGGGTGAAAGTTACATTTTGAAGGTAAAGGTAAAGTTTTTACTTGATATAAAGCAGCATTGTTCATCATGTGGAAGTAGTTTCACAAGGAATGCTGAACTAAAAGAACTGTCTTCAAAACTCTCATCTCCAAAACCTTCTTAGAGAACTTTAGTGGCTTTTGACTTCCAGAAAAATAGATACTAGAATTAGAACATTGAATGTTTTGGGAAACCAGAAATAATAAAAAATTCTAAACAATGCTCTTTAATTAAAGTACTATGAAGCATTTAGGTGAGCAAAATACCTTACAGATTTTTTATGGTTGTTGCAAAGAGGAGTATATATCCTTAGTTTAGTGATAATTTTATTAGTAATTTTTATCTTTCTGAAATGTTAATCTGTAACTCAACATATTTATTAATTGTGACTTTAAAACTTTTTCTATAGAGCGTATTAAAGATCTCCAGACTGAGCAATCATCTTTGCAGTCAGAAAATGCACAGTTTGAAAATGAGAATCAAAAGCTTCAGCAGAAACTGAAAGTAATGACTGAACTATATCAAGAAAATGAAATGAAACTTCACAGGTAATAAAAATTGTATTGATAGCTCCAGCAAGTAACATAGCCTAAAATTGTATGTTGCATTTTCAGTTTATGTGATTATTAGAAGTTCTCAGTATATGATTAGATGATATTTCATCAGTTCGTTTTTAGGAAAGTTAATTTGATCTTGAGACTTTTTATTCATAGAATATTGTAAATGTTGTTGGAATTTCCACGTTAGTTCACAAACTCCCCTTTAACTTTTAATAAATAGTCAGCAGATTATTGCCTTAAATTTCCTAATATTGGCAGGTTAGGTCAGGGAATCTTAATAAATACGGTAGTGATTGACCCACTCATTAATTTCATCTCTGCTATATCTAAAACCGACCCCTCATGCAAATTGAGCATGCTCCTGTGTTCCTTGTCTCAGTAAATGGTGGTGTCATTTGTCTGGTTGCTTAGCGCAGCTGCTTAAGCCACCCTCAACTCCTTTCTTTCTCTTATATCCAATATTTATTCTGTCATCAGATCCTTTCAGCTTTTCTGTATCCTGAATCTGACCACTTTTCACTGCCTCCCATACTATTATTCTGATTCAAGCCATCATCAGGTAGTACCTGGCTTATTGCGGTTACCACTTAAGTGATCTCCCTCCTTTCACTCGTAAATTCCTGCACTATGTTTTCTATGCAATACACAGAATAGTCTTTCTAAAAAGAATTATAGATGTCTCACTCTCTTGTTCAGAACCCCCAAGTGCTTTCATATTACACTCAGAATTTAATCCAAAGTTTTTATCATGACTTAGAAGACCCTACCAGATCGGGTGTCTGGCTACTTCTTTAATCTTTAGTTAATTCAGTTTCTTTTTTGCTTAGTGTCCTGTAGCCATACTAGCCTTTTTGATCATCTTTAGCATGCCAAGCACATTTGTACCTCAGGGCCTTTGAACTTGCTCCTAATGTCTGGAATGATGTTCCCCTATATATTTGTATGGCTTAGTCCCCTGTTTCATTTGGCTCTGGGTTCAAATGTTGCCTCAGAGAATCCTTGTATGAGTACTCTAAAGAAAATAATACTTGCCATTCTCTATCCCCTTATTTTGCTTTATTTTCCTTCATAGCCCTGTTCCTCTGGTTGTTTTTATCTTCTGTCTTCCCTACATTAAATGTAAGCTCATGAGAGAATTACTTTATTTTCTTCTCTTCTGATCCCCAGTCCACCTAAAACTATGTCTGGCACATGAAAGGTGTTCAACAAGTATTTGTTAAACATATGAATAAATATATTTAGTGCCTTTATATATGGGAGTGAAAGAGTGTGTGCATGTGTATGCTGATGCCTAAGTGCGTAGGTACACAGAAGGCCCTTGAGAATATCTGTCTGGGGACCCCATATTTTTAAATACCACTATACCAAAAAAAACCAAACCCATTGCTATTGAGTTGATTCTGACTCACAGCCATCCTACATAGGACAGAGTAGAACTGCCCCATAGGGTTTCCAAACAACAGCTGGTGTATTTGAACTGCCGACCTTTTGGTTAGCAGCTGAGCTCTTAACCACTGTGCCACCAGGACTCCTAAATACTACTATATTTTTTAACTTAAAGGGAAATTAAATGTAACCAAAGTTTTAGGTCCTTTTCAAAACTTAATGAAAATTACTAAAATTTGGAAAATGATAAAGAACATTAGCACTCCACTGAGTTCAGGATGCTAGGTAGTTGGTTAGGCTCATTCAGTAGCCAAGCCCTGTACCTAAACCATGCTTTGGATTCAATTCAGAATTTAAAAACTTGCTATTCATCTTGGACCTTTGGGTCATTTGGGACTGCTCAGGATGTGAAAGGGAAATAAACATGACTAAATGGAAGAGCTGTAGTGTAGCCTCAGTGTTTCAGTCAGTAAATCTAGGAATGGGCCCTTATTTTTAGGTTAGAATGAAAGATATTGTCAGCTAAATTTTGGACATAAAAGGGATTATTTGAGGTGAAAGAAATACTTTTGAGTATATTTTTTAAACAAAAAGAAAATGATCTTTTAATTTTAATGAGTAATGTTAAAAATTTCAAAGAAAAGAGGTGTTCTCTGAAGATATTCAAAGCAAGGACAGGAGGCTAGTGTGTGTTGTTCCAGTTGTGAAATGTTGAAATGTTTTGAATTCTTAAGATTACCATATCTTCCATTCTTATATTTAAATTACACTGTTCACTACTCAGATTCAAGGAATTATGTCACTGGTTGTTCTTCAGGTTAGAAAACAGAGAGTTGATAAACCCAATGCCGTTGAGTCGATTCTGACTCATAGTGACCATACAGGACAGAGTCGAACTGCCCCATAGGGTTTCCAAGGCTGTAATCTTTATGGAAGCAGACTGCCACACCTTTCTTCCATGTAGCGACTGGTGGGTTCAAACCACAGGCCTTTCGGTTAGTAGCCGAACGCTTAACCACTGCACAGCCAGAGCTCCTCAGAGAGTTGATAGTACCAGTAAAATGTTTAATTGAAATTCTTGCCTGCATACAGTATGATTTAGGTTCATTTTCTAGATGCTGGATTGATATTTTTCATAACTGACATATATTGCATTAGTAGCATTCTTCCAAATTTAATATTGGAGGGTAGTGAAATGATAGGACATAGAAGCTTGGTGTGAGGTAAGGCGTGATTTTTATTTAGATAATTGGTTTCCTTTCACAGTGTCATTTCTGTCATTACTGATAGATTCAAGGTGATTGGCAGGGGTGTCAGATAATTTCTTATCATCTTCAATCCACAACCTGTAAAAACACACCTCCTTTCCATCCCCAAGTCCATCATACTTTCATGCTTTTCCTGAGGAGATAACTTTTATTTTCTTGTAATACCTGTGAAGTGATCGACCTGGGGGAATGCCTTCTAAGCAATAGTTAATATAATTTGTAGAATATAAAACATTTGCTGCTGCCCTATGTAATTTTTTCGGTAGTTTGTCATGTTCTTCCTCAAAGTTCATGAAGGGGAGGAAAAATCTGTAGTTAGGACTCCAAATGTGTTTTTCTCTTATGCTCAACAAATTTTTTTTGAGTAACTCGTGCTGTTATTGATGACTATGTGAAAAACAACAGACAGTATAGTATAGTCACTACACTACTTGGTAGCTCTTTGCCTTGGTCCAGTTATCTCGTCTTAATCTATCTGTGCTTCATTTTCCTTTTTGTAAAATGGGAACATTAATATAACTCTTCTGTAGGGGTTTTGTAATAATTAAATGATACATATAAAGGCCTAAGAACAGTTCTGGTACATATTAACGGCTCGATAAGTTAGCTATTGGGCTGCTATTAAAAGTACTAGAAGTAGTAAGTAGGAGTACTACTACTCCTGTTTACTTTGGGTTGTTTTTTATGAACTGGCCTGGGAGCTTCATTACTATTTTTAACAGCCTCTTTAAAAACAATCGAAACACAGTTCATTAGTTGGTGACTTCTTGTCTAATAATTGTAACGCTTCTTTATACAAGAAGGCTTGATAAATGACATAACAGTTGTAATAGTTTTAGTAATATTTACCTTTGATCATCTTATTTTTATGATAACTTATAGAAAACTCTTTAAATTACTGTGTTAATAGTATTATATCAGATGAGCTGCTTAATAATCTTAAATTTCACACCAGGAATATTTATATAGGTTTTTTTTTTTCCTTGCATGTGATGTTTTTAGTGGCACTGTACAAATTGCCTTATGGGGGGAGCACCAGTTGTGATATAATTTAAAAGATAGAACTGATGATTTAATGACATGTACTAAAAGAAATAAAACACTTTTTGTTTTAAGGAAATTAACAGTAGAAGAAAATTACCGGTTAGAGAAAGAGGAGAAACTTTCCAAAGCAGATGAAAAGCTCAGTCATGCAGCTGAAGAACTGGAGATCTATAGGTACTAAATATATTTCCTCTCTTTTTTGAGGGGTGGGGATGATATCCAAAAACACAGTATTAGAAAGAATTAGAAAGCAACCAAAAGAGTAAATAAAACGACTGTTTTTATTTCGTTATTTTTCATTCAGGTGTCTTGCTGTTAGGCAATTGTACAGAAAATGTAAAAAGGAAAAAATGTTTTACTTTCAGTGCGTATGATTTTAAATCTCTTACATTAGGTGGTTTTGAATATGAACACTCCTATTTATGTTAATATCATGAAAATTATGAATAGCTATTACAAGGTCTTGCCTCTTTGATTCAAATGGGAGGGAATGTATACAATATCAGTGAATTCAAGAAGTGTGACACAGAAATAAGAGTGAACCAGAATTAATGCTATAAAGAAGTGTTTATAAGATTATTAAGTCTGGTTTTTTACCTTGGCTCTATCCTCACTGGATCCAAGGAAGTAACGGAAAATCTAGAGAAGAAGAGGAAAAAGATTCAGCAGTAGTCCAGATAGTCACATTAGTCACATTAGGAAGAGTGTGCATGGATTTTATCCAAGAGAAGAAATTATTTTGTTACGTAGTCTTATA